TTGCAAGAAAAAATTCGAGAAAAAGAAAAAAATACCCGTTTGCAAGTTCAGTAGGCCTCCCAATTCTCCCTGAAGTGCGAAATTACCCGGAGGAAAATTTTCGAACGTTCAAACTGCAAATGATTATCCGACGAGTATTCCGAAAAAAATAAAATACAGCAAATATTCGGAAGTACTCAGATGGGAGTACGAGCAGTTGGAGAATGATACCTACAAGAGTCCGTACCGTTTAAAAAAAAAAACGAATTTTAGAAAAAAAAAATTCCGAATTTAATGGGAAATTGCAAAAGGAAATCGAAATTTTTGGAAAAAAGATATTCCAGATTTTCCAACAACGAAATTTTGAATTTTCAGAAGGAAAACGGAAACGGAAATTTCAGATGTTGTGCTATTGYGATTTTCCACAGCAGAAATAACGAGAAAACAAAATCCAAGAAAAGAAAAAGAAAATCAATTTTCGGCAGTGAGGTCAAAATCGTGACTTTGGGAGCTAACTAGTGTGCTCTAATCAATAAATCAAGACATATCAGCTACCTAGTCCCCGCACACTTGTCAGATCAGGTTGTCCTGATTCACGTGCGGTGTTCCGATACCAACTGTTACATGCCCAGTTGGGCGATGTACATATAAACCAAGGATACTCAATGTGATGAAAAGGACCGAGTGGACAATGCACTGCAAGTGAAATCTCAACAAGCGGTGTACGGATGATACAAACAAAATGGTGCTTTACAACGCAGTGGAAGACTTAGATACAAGTCCTGACCTGACCGGGACTGACCTCTTTCGCATAGTACAAGATAGCGCGGTAGAATACTAAAATGCTAATGACTAGCCCAATCACAACACAGACCAAACATACATCATTCTCACCACACGGTGTGAAGGGAGCCTGGCGCTATACACAGGAAGAGGCGCCAGGTCCAGTTCATGCACAACGAAGAGGAGGGGATCAGACGGAGCAGAGGAGGGGCGAGATGGGAAAGTCGTCAACACCAAGTCTCGTTACAAGTCCCAAATAATTCCTCGTCAAAATGTCTGAAGTCAAATGTCAAGTCCGGATCCAAATGTCATCAAGCTCTCTCTCTCTCTCTCTCTCTCTCTCTCTCTCTCTCTCTCTCTCTCTCTCTCTCTCTCTCTCTCTCTCTCTCTCTCTCTCTCTCTCTCTCTCTCTCTCTCTCTCTCTCTCTCTCTCTCTCTCATAGTCTGCTGATGTCGGGAAGTCACATAACGAGAACGTGAGAGGGAGATGGTGGACTAAGAAGAGGAAGAAGAAGAACTATCTCTCTCTCTCTCGTACGCCAGGTACTAACCTGTGAAGGTGGCGCTGTGCTGCAGGTACCTCGAAGACGAAGCTGGAGCGATGACGCTGCAGGTAAGTCCCTCTGGCCTCCGCCCAATCTCTCTCTCTATAGTACTACTCTAGCTGCTATGGCGCCCAGCGCTCAAGACTACCGCTAATGCTACTAGCGCCCAGCGCTAAAGAATATTGCTAACGCTACTACTACTCCTGCAACGCTCCTCCAGAGTGCTGCTGCCGAAACCTGAAGACTACCTGCCTCCTGAACTGCTTGTGAAGTGCCTGGGAAGTACCTAGGAACTACCTGCAGCCTGCAGGGCGGGAAAGTCCTATATACTGCTGGCCTGTCCAGGAGGCTGCTCTTGCCAATGCCAAAACGTGCCAAACCCTGGCGTTGAAGCTCAACCAAGGGTTGTCTTGAAAACAGGCCCAAAATGGCCTGTGCTAAAACCCTGGTTTGGTGCCTGAGTTTCAGGGCAGGTCAATCTTATGAGAGCCTTAAAATGGTCCTCAGTTTCAGGCTGAAAAGACTCAAGGTCGGAAAGGCCTTGATTTAGGCTGAAAGGACACAGGGCCTGTAGGGCTGAAACGACACAGGTTGTTACATGCCCAGTTGGGCGATGCATATGTAAACCGAGGATCCGCAATGTGATGAAAAGGACTGAATGGACAATGCAGTGCAAGTAGAATCTCAACAAGCAGTGTACATCCTGATACATACAAAATGGTGTTTTATAGNGCAATGTGATGAAAAGGACTGAATGGACAATGCAGTGCAAGTAGAATCTCAACAAGCAGTGTACATCCTGATACATACAAAATGGTGTTTTATAGTGCAGTGGAAGATTTAGATACAAATCCTGACCTGACCGGGACTGACCTCTTTCACGTAGTACAAGAAAGCGAAACAGAATGCTAGAATACTAATGACTAGCCCAATCCACGTTTCAACGCAGACCCCACATACATCATTCTCATCACAAGTGTGAAGGGGCCCAATGTTGTACACAGGAAGAAGGCGCCAGGTCCAGATCATGCACAGACGAAGAGGAGGGGATCAGACAGAGAAGGGGAGGAGAGAGATGGGAAAGTTGTCAACACTAAGTCTCGTTACAAGTCCCAAATAATCCCTCGTCAAAATGTCTGAAGTCCAATGTCGTGTCTGGATCCAAATGTCACCAAGCTCCCTCTCTCTCTCTCATAGTCTGCTGATGCAGTGAAGTCAGATAGCGAGAGGGTGAGAAGGAGATGGTGGACTGAGAAGAGGAAGAAGAAGAACTCTCTCTCTCCCATGTGCCAGGTACTAACCTGCGAAGATGGCGTTGTGCTGCACCTCGAAGACAAAGCTGGAGGAATGGCGCTGCAGGTAAGTCTCCCTGGCCTCCGCCCAATCTCTCTCTCTCTAGTACTACTAGCTCCTACGGCACCCAACACTGAAGACTACCGCTAACGCTACTAGCGCCCAGCGCTGAAGACTACTGCTAACGCTACTACTACTCCTGCAGCTCTCCTCCAGAGTGCTGCTGCCGAATCCTGAAGACTACCTCCTGCCTCCTGAACTGCACGTGAAGTGCCTGGGAAGTACCTAGGAACTATTTGCAGCCTGCAGGGCGGGCCAGTCCTTTATAGTGCTGGCCCGTTCAGGAGGCTGCTCTTGCCAATGCCAAAACGTGCTGGACCTTGGGGTTGAAGCTCAAACGAAGGTTGTCCTGAAAATAGGTAAAAAATGACCTGAGCTAAAACCCTGGTTTGGTGCCTGAGTTTCGGGGCAGGCCGAACTCATGAGGGCCTTAAAATGGCCCTCAGTTTCAGGCTGAAAAGACTCAGGTCCGGAAAGGCCCTGATTTAGGCTGAAACGACACAGGGCCTGTAGGCCATTGTTTTCAGGCTTTCAGGCTGAAACGACACGGGGCCTGTAGGCCCTTGTTTTCAGGCTTTTGGCCTGAAAACGTCACGGGCTTGAAAGTGGCCCGTGCAGCCTGTTGCAGGTGTAGCATGTAACACCCGCCCCTCCTTATGAAGTCAAGTCGGGGCAAGGGCGAAGCTGACGATCTGAAGGTGGAACGTGGATGCGGGTGAGACGTGGAGCCGAAGATACTGGCTTGCCTTGCATCTTGCATTCGTAGCGTGCGAGAACGTCTGGAGCTGTCGCTTGGAGTTCCGCACAGGTCAACCAACGATCAGCTTATTGACTGCAGTACGCAAAGTGTACCAAGTCCTCGGTTGGCCTGTTCCCGTAGCGTCACTGGGAGATGATGTTGCCGAACTCTTGAAAACCGTCCATAGAGGGTGGGTCTTGCGATCGTCGTCCGACAAAATCGTCATGTTCCGCTGGCGTGTAAAGAGCCAACTTGGAGCAATGAAAGACGGGGTAGACGGGCAAGTGGGCGGGCACCTGAATGGTGAAAGAAGGTCCTTCGGGTGCATCCCCAGCGGGTGCCATGATCGGCCAAGGCCCCATCCATTTCGGGAGGAGCTTGCGAGAGATATCTTGTTCGAGGCTGAATTCCGCGGCGGAAACCCAGACAAGGTCGTCGGCGCAGAATGGACAGGGAAGACGCTGGTGATTGGCTTGTTGGCTCATGCAGTGCTGCGTCTTTGCCATCTGGTTCCGTGCCTTGACAAGGAGCTCTTGTATCCGACGAATGAAGAGAAAATGGTCGTCGCTCTCGGCCGCCCGTGAAATGATTGTGTCCAACGGAGAAGTGACCGGCGAGCCGTGCTCCAACTCGAAGGGCGAGATCCCGATAGCCGGGTGGATGGATGAGTTGTATGCCAACTCGACATCTGGCAGCCACTCAACCCAATCCTTTTGGTCGGGCCAGATTGCATTGCGAAGGAGAACCTGTGCGGTCTGATCCGCCCTCTCCGTTTGGCCATCGGTTTGGGGGTGGCGAGCCGAACTTGGCTTGAGAGATGAGGCCCATCGTTTGATGAGCGCCAACCAAAAATCGGACATGAACCAAGTGTCGCGGTCGTAGACGATCTCCTTGGGGTAATCAATCCTTCGTTCGAATCGAACCGGTGTAAAGAACCTCGGCCAACTCCGGTGCCTTGGCATGATAGCGGCAAGGCAAAAACATGGCGAACTTGGTGAGTCACCACCGTGAGAATCCCATCCACACCAGTCTTGTGCTTTGGGAACAACCCAGCAATGTTCATGGCAATCGCTTCCCTTCGGCGGAAGGGGACTGGTAATGGTTGCAACTCGCCGTACGGACGATGATTGAGGGATTTGCAACGTCGGCAAACCTCGCATAACTCGCAATAGCGTGTGACGTCGTCGAGAAGACCGGGCCACCAAAAGCGCTCGTGGAGTCGGCCAAACGTACGATTGACTCCAAAGTGTCCGGTGGCGGGAGCGTCGTGGAACTCGCCAAGAAGCCGTGTGCGCAAGTGTAAATCTCGTGGCACACAAAGAACGTCCTTCCCTCGCGAGTGGACGAGCAAGTACCCCTCTTGGATCCGATAGTGCAATGGCGCCGGATTGGAGAGGAGCAATTTGCGTACTTGTTGCAAAACTCGGGGTCGACTTGGTAGCCGCAGATGAAGCTGTCCCGCAAGTCGTCGTGAATCTCAAAAAGTTGAGTAGACTGCGGTACAATGGTCCGGACGCCGTGAAAGAGCATCCGCAAAACGGTTTGACTTGCCCGGAATGTGGTCGGGGAAAAAGTCAAACAGGTCGATGAAGGTCATCCAACGGGCAATGGTGCTATTGACTGTGTCTTGGGTCTAGTAGAAGACCAATGGATTATTATCCGTTACCTATCGGAACTGCCATCGACCGAGAAGAAAATGCCGCCAGCGCTTGAGCGCGTGTACGAAGGTCAATAATTCCTTCTTTCGTGCGTCGTCGATCGAGTGCACGGCGGGCACTTTCTTGCTAAAGTACTCGATCGGGTGCCAGTCCACACCATCATGTTGCTCGAGAACGACACCAATGCCATAGTCGGACGCATCAGAAGTGACACGTGTCTGCAGGAGTGGGTTGTAGATGCGCAACACCTCCGCAGATAGCAATGCGGCTTTGAGAGCCAAAAAGGAAGTCCGCGCATTGTCGTAGAAGTTGAATGGTCGGTCCTCACATTGAAGCTTTGATAAAGGAGCCGCGATCTTCGAGTATCCCTTGATGAAGCATTGATAATAGCCGGCTAAGCCAAGGAAGGAACGAACATTTGTGACGTTCTTCGGCTCCGGCCACTCTTGGATGGCTTGAATCTTGTCCGACAACGGACTGATGCCCTCCGGTTTGACAAAATGGCACAAGTATTCCAGCTCTTGCAGGACAAATTCGCACTTGTCGCGGTTGGCATTGTACTTGGCACGGCGAAGCGTCTCCAGCACTCGTCGAAGGTGCTCAAGATGATCCCCCAATGTCTGGCTATGGACGAGAATGTCGTCTAAGTAGACTAGTACGAACCGGTCCAACATCGTACGAAACTCGTTGGTCATTGCCGCTTGAAAGGTCGTCGGGGCATTGGTGAGGCCAAAAGGCATAACGATCCACTCAAAATGCCCGTACTGTGTCTTGAACGTGGATTTGTAGCAATCTTGCGGGCGTATCAAGATTTGATGGTAGCCCGACTTCAAGTCCAACTTCGAGAAGAATTTCGCGCCGCCCAAACGCTCGAGAAGGTTGTTAATCCGCGGAAGAGGTCCCACATTCTTGACGGTTTGTACGTTGAGCTTGCAGTAGTCGATGCACAAACGAAGATCCTTGTTCTTCTTCCGTACGAAGAGAACTGGCACACCGTATGGTGAGCTACTAGGGCGGATCCAGCCCTTGTCCAAAGGATCGTCGAGTTGAGCGCGGAGAACCACGAGCTCTTCTTCGCTCATGTGATAGATGCATCCTTTCGGTGGCACGGCACCAGCCTCAAGAATGATCTCATGGGAGATCGGCCGATCCGGCACCACATCGGTAGGAGACTCGAAGATGTTGGTGAACTCGTCGAGCAGCCGCACCACTCGGGGGTCTGAAGACAAGTCCGTAGGTGAAGATTCGGTCGTCGTGGCGGCTCGTTGAAAACATAGGCCTATCTCGTCGGTCCGCTCGTAAGCGCAAGTGGCCTGAAAAGACTTGGTCGTTACAACTTGGCACCAGATCGAGGAATGTGGAAGAGGAATGGTACACGACACCTCGGCGTCGAAGGCGTTGCGAACGGTAAGTGTCCGTTGATGGAAGTTAACCATGTGATCCGCACTTGCAAGCCAAGGCATCCCCAAAATAATGTCGAAGTCCATGTCTAAGACGTCAAACGTCACCGGTTCACATGCATGAGGTGTGAAATAAATCGGCATAGCTTCAATGTAGCGATCGAGGAGTTGTTGCGTCCGATCGTCCACCAACTTGATTGCCGTCGGGTTTGGCTTCCTTCGAACTTGTGCGCCAAGGCCGTCCCTTTGGATAAAGGACTGGTTGATGAAATTGCGAGTTGCGCCGCTATCCAGCAAAGCGCCGCAGGACGCTTGCCCAACTTGGATGCGGACATAAAGGAGCGGTGCATTGTTATCATCGTACCGCTGCATGCGAAACTCGCGGGCCACCTTGGTAACATACGCAAGGATGTCCCCCACCGCAGCTTCGTCATCCGTCGGTGAAGATGGTGGTGCATAGAAGGCTAAGTATGTGTGGAGATGGGCGCATAGTGCTGCGCATTGCGGTCTCGGCAAGCAGCCTGTGGAAGGGAGAGGAAGCCATGCAAAATCCTCGAACGTCAACGGGTCCGAGACCTCTACGTTGAACTCGTGCATCAAAACCCTTGAAGAACCACTTGAAGACGATTCATTGTTGCTGTTGTTGGACGGAGAAGAAGCCGCACACACATATTGTCCTTGAGCTTGAGAACCCAGCGAAGGAACGAGCCGGACAGCATAGTCCTCATAAGAATATAAGAGACGACTGTCGACTTCCGCATGTGCCTCGGAATGAAGAGAGGTCGCTCAAGAAACAACCGATTCCGAAGGCGAATAGAGTGCAACCGCATCACTCTCGGCGGTGCTCACTTTCCCGAAGGGAATTTGCCTTTGACTTGCGTGGGGCACGTTGCAGTGTCGTGTACCGCGCTGTTGCACCACAAGTAGTATCGGTACCTAGTACGGATGTGGTACACGCCTTCCAAGATACAGTAATGTGTCCAAGGCTCTTGAGCGGCTGGTCCGGCCCCGGGGGATGAATTGGTGTGTGTCATCGGTTTGCCTCGTCCTCGCCCTCTGGCAGGGCGGCCACCATCCCGGGCAGCTGCCAATCTGTCTCCTTCATCAGAAGAGGCAGCCTCGTTTGAAGGATCGGTCATTGTAGTTGTTGCGACCATGGCCACTTTCGACCGATGTTGACCTCTGCCCTGCCCTGCAGCAGACGAATGGTCCAAATTCTTGGCTTCAATGTTTGTCACGATGATCTGCGAGGCTTTATCAAAAAGCTGCTCACTTATGGTGAGCGTCTCCGCAACTTGCGTCAAGGCGTTCTGCAACGCCGGACAGCTCCTCCTGATGAAGAAGTGCTTGATAGCAACAAATGTCGACGACAAGTTGGGCGTGGATGCCAAGTGTTGGCACTCGGTTATCTAGTTCGTGCTTGGCAGGTTGTTCTGATACAACCGTTGAAGTTTCTCGGCTGCCTGAAGCTCGAGCGGCTCCAATTGGAACCGCTTATGCCATGCTGCCTTGAGATCCGCCCAACTGATCTTCATATGCAGCTCGGAGACTGCGACGTTGTGAGTGGACAACATGTTGTCCAGCCATGCCTGGCACACGCCCCCTGAGCGGGAGTATAAGTATGCGTGCCGGTTCGGGTTGATGACGTGGTGAATGTCCAACTTCAACTCGAGCTGCCGCCACCATGGGACCGGGTCTGTCTTCGTTGCATCGCAGAACATCGGCAGTCCGTCAAACTTTGGGATGCTCTCGCGAGTAGTCGCGGTCGGACTGGCTGAGAGGGCACAAATCTGCTGGTCAATCCGCTGATTTGTCGCTAGAGCCGCCGTCGTCCTTGAGAGTCTCGACGTCGATTTCCAAGATGTTGACGTGGTCCGTCAAGTTGGAGGGTCCGGTGGGGGTGGCTGTTGTAGGCTGATGTTCCAGCCGGCGTACCCGGTCAAGCACTTCATCGATAATTCCAATCTTCTTCCGGACCAGGGTGTCCACGCAGAGGATGTCCTCTTGCTGTGCTGCACAGGTGGCGACCAAGTCGCTCACATGTTCGATTGTGGTTGCAAGGCCACGCACAGTGGGGGGGGCACCCTCCTCTTCAGCAGCCACTGCCCATTCGCCGACAATCACCTCGATGTCCCCCTCGCATTCGAGGATTTTGTCTCGGCGTAGTCGACGGCGTTCGTCTGTGGCCTTCCTTGCTGCCTCAGCTTCCTCCTGTCGCTGCTGTTCACCGAGGCGACGCTGTTCCTCTGCGTCCTCATCTTCCTTCTTACGTGCGGATGTTGCCGCAGCTGCCCGTTGCTTGAACTCTGCGACCATGTCCAGCATGCGGGCCTCATAGGCCTCGGTAGTCTCACCTGGCTGCTGATCCATGCCGCTTGTCTTTGAGCAGGTAGCACCATGCACTGACGTGACCTGCTGCTGCGGTGACTGGTTGCTGACGTGGCACTGCTGTCGTGTCCTGCTGACGTGGTAACTCACCAATGCCGCCGCAGGGGGTACCCGTAGGGAGATAGAGAGAGGACCAGAGGGGGCAACAACATAGGTGCGGAGGGGTGGGATAAATCACCCAGATAAGGAGCCACTAATCAAAAAAGAAAAGTTTGAACTTCGCAAAAAAAATCGAGAAAAAGAAAAAAATACTCGTTTGCAAGTTCAGTAGGCCTCCGAGGTCCCCTGAAGTGCGAAATTATCCATGAGAAAAATTTTGAACATTCAGACCGCAAATGATTTTCTGATAAAAGAATTCCGAAAATGAAGTACAACTGATTTCGGAGTAAAAATATTCCGGATTTCCAAATAACGGGAAATTGCAAAAGGAAATCAAATTTTTCGAAAAAGAAGATATTCCGGATTTTCAACAACGATTTTATTTTATTTTATTTTTTTAACAGGTCCTTATGGCCCTGGCTCCATGTCCATTATGGGGAGCGTCAGTCCGGTTCCTATTCCCCCGGCAAGTCAAAATTGTATACATCATGAGACACACTCACGCTTCCTTCCGTCTAGCCGAAGGAACCCTGACCAACATTGATTACTCCTTCTTGGGAGGATTGACTGTCAGCTTGCCCTACCCTCGTTTTCCTCTCAGAAGCCCTGTTGCTTCTGTCGAATAGGCATTAAAGCACAAGAAACTGGGAGAGATGTCTGTCAGTCAGAGACTAAAGCCTCATTTTGTCCTGCTCGGGATCGTCTTCCTTGTCGTTGTTGGATTGGGCCCCTTCTTCCAAACTGACCCCTCGACTGTCTTGCTTGTCACCCTGCATTTGTACTGTTCCTCCTTCGTGGACCAGTCGGAGTTCCGTTTCTCTGCGGCTACGCCTGATGCCACCTTTTCCATATCAGCCTGTTCTCCGCTATGGTGGCGATCTTGCCCTTTAACAGCCAATTCCTCAGGAATGTTCTTCTTTTGATCGCGTGCTTTTCTGGTCTGTGCGTCATGGATGAAGATATTTTCCGCCACCTGGCCTGAATTTCAGTCTCCACCATGCTTATAAGAAGAGTCCACATTTCCTCCCTGGACACCTCTGCTCCTTCAATCGTCCGTGTGCATCTGCGTTTCCAGATGACCCAGAGAGCCAGTTTTTTGAGTAGATTGAACCAAACTTCCTTGCTGCCACTGAGATTCCTGGGAGTGTTAGAGAGGAGTAGGATTGTTAGAGGGGAGGTGTTTGGCGGTGGAGATGAAAAGAGGGTGGACCACAGGTACCGAACTTTGTTCCAGATCCAGTGTGCTTCAGGACAGTAGAGGAGGCAGTGGGGGATGTCTTCTGTTGTGTTGTTGTTGCACAAGACGCAGAGTTCTGATCTTTCTGGGTCTGAGTGTCTCCTTCTTTTGTGGAGCCATTGGCTGACCGGGAGGGCTGCGTGTGCTAGGAGCCATTGCATGCTGCGGATTCTGGCTGGCCTAATGAGGAGGTATTTGCCACTTCTCTTTTAGCCTAGGGTTCGGGTCTGTAGTTGAATTTCCAAAAGAAAAACGAAATCGGAAATTTCAGATGCTGCGCTATTGCGATTTTCCACAACAGAAATAGCGAGAAAACTGCAAGGAATATGAGTGTGAGCGATATACATAAAACCAAGTTGCCAAATCACACAACTGAACAAGTAGTCGTGTCCCAAGCAAAGAGTACAAATGCACCGAGAAAACCATCCATCTAGAGCAATACAATGAAGTAATGAGCCATTGTCCAAGCCCGTAGGCCACACCAATACAGTATCCAAAGTCGCTCTCTCCTGTCTGGCGCTCGGCGCCCAGCCTACTCCACCTGACTAGCCTACCTACAGCCGGTTCACGCAACAGGATCACTTCGACTCTCGAAGACCAATGTACATGACTGCCAACACCATCGCCGACCTCTCTTCATGTACCAGGTACGTATCTCGTCACCCTCAATCAGACCTTGATTACCCCACACGCGCCTCCTTCCCTGAAGACCACCTGAATCATCCGCTGTACCCCCTGGCGCCTAGCAGCCCGGCTATGGCTGCCTGCGCCCCGCTGCCCTGCAGTGCCCCACTTCACCTCTCGTGCCCCGTCAGCGCCCTTGGCAGCAGCGCAGCATCAAGCGAGAGCGCAGCAGCACTTCCGCATTGCTAGCGCTGGCCAGAATGCAGGCCTGGGCTGCTTCCCTCCTTTTGTGGAAGTGGCAGCCTCTTGGATGCTGCGTGTGGCCTGGCTGGAAGCTTCCAGTAGCTTCCGGTTGGGCCCCAGACCCTACGCCCAGGCCCGAGACTACAGTTGAGGGCCTGGGCCCTTTGCAGTTAGGCACGGCCTGAGTCTCCAGACTTGGGCTGTTTGCTGCATCTGTGCAGGGCTCCCAGGCAGGTGCGTTGGCATTACTGCTTTTGCAAAGGCCGAAGGCCTGCTTCCCAATGTATCGGCCCTGCTTTGTGTATGTGTGCCCAGGTGCAACTGTCAAGGCCTGGGCCAACTGTATGACGCAGCAATGTGAGGCTCAAGCGTCTTCCCAACCAACTGGCGTGTTGCGAGAGCCTGAATACCCACATATGGAAATGTCGAATTTTGCCTTTGACGAATATTCAGGCCCGCCTTCACTTAGGGCGGGCACTTGGCTTGTTGGGGGCCTTAGCCCAGAACAATGTGATGTCTGATAGGGCCCCTTGAGGGCTTGTTCCTCACAAAACAAAATCCAATAAAAGAAAAAAATTTTGATTTTCGGCAGTGAGGTCAAAATCGTGATTTTGGGGGCTAACTAGTGTGCTCTAATTAATCAATCAAAACTAATCAGCTACCTAGTCCCCGCACACGTGTCAGATCAGGTTGTCCTGATTCACGTGCGGTGTTCCGATACCAACTGTTACATGCCCTGTTGGGCGATGTATATGTAAAACCGAGGATCCGCAATGTGATGAGAAGGACTGAATGGACAATGCAGTGCAAGTAGAATCTCAACAAGCAGTGCACATCCTGATAAATACAAAATGGTGTTTTATAGCGCAGTGGAAGATTTAGATACAAGTCCTGACCTGACCGGGACTGACCTCTTTCACGTAGTACAAGATAGCGAAGCAGAATGCTAGAATACTAATGACTAGCCCAATCGACGTTTCAACACAGACCCCACATACATCATTCTCATCACAAGTGTGAAGGGGCCTGGGGCTGTACACAGGAAGAAGGCGCCAGGTCCAGATCATGCACAGACGAAGAGGAGGGGATCAGACGGAGAAGAGGAGGGGAGAGATGGGAAAGTCGTCAACACCAAGTCTCGTTACAAGTCCCAAATAATCCCTCGTCAAAATGTTTGAAGTCCAATGTCAAGTCTGGATCCAAAGGTCACCAAGCTCCCTCTCTCTTTCTCACAGTCTGCTGATGCAGTGAAGTCAGATAGCGAGAGAGTGAGAAGGAGATGGTGGACTGAGAAGAGGAAGAAGAAGAACTCTCTCTCTCTCATGTGCCAGGTACTAACCTGTGAAGATGGCGCTGTGCTGCACGTACCTCGAAGACAAAGCTGGAGCAATGGCGCTCCAGGTAAGTCTCCCCGGAGCAATGGCGCTGCAGGTAAGTCTCCCTGGCCTCCGCCCAATCTCTCTCTCTCTAGTACTACTAGCTCCTATGGCGCCCAGCGCTGAAGACTACTGCTAACGCTACTAGCGCCCAGTGCTGAAGACTACTGCTAACGCTACTACTACTCCGGCAGCTCTCCTCCAGAGTGCTGCTGCCGAATCCTGAAGACTACCTCCTGCCTCCTGAACTGCACGTGAAGTGCCTGGGAAGTACCTAGGAACTACCTGTAGCCTGCAGGGCGGGCTAGTCCCTTATAGTGCTGGCCCATCCAGGAGGCTGCTCTTGCCAATGCCAAAACGGTCCAGACCCTGGGGTTGAAGCTCAAACAAAGGTTGTCTTGAAAATAGGCCAAAAATGGCCTGAACTAGAACCCTGGTTTGGTGCCTGAGTTTCGGGGCAGGCCGAACTCATGAGGGCCTGAAAATGGCCCCCAGTTTCAGGCTGAAAAGACTCACGGCCGGAAAGGCCTTGATTTAGGCTGAAACGGCACAGGGCCTGTAGGCCCTTGTTTTCAGGCTTTCAGGCTGAAACGACACGGGGCCTGTAGGCCCTTGTTTTCAGGCTTTTGGCTTGAAAACGTCRCGGGCCTGAAAGTGGCCCGTGCAGCCTGTTGCAGGCGCAGCATGTAACCTAGGGCCTACAGGCCCTTGTTTTCGGGCTTTTGGCCTGAAAACGTCACGGACCTGGAAATGGCTTGGCAGCCTGTTCCAGGCGCAGCATGTAACACACACATAACCAAGTAGCAAATACTCACTCAATTTGGATTATCCTTCAGGAACAATACGCTACTCCGCACCCGCAAGCGCTTCAGTCTCTGGAGACCAATCCGGATGTGCAATTACCTCCCTCCCCTGCACATGACCAGGCAGTGTCCCCACCCTGTGTAGACCGGGCAGATTCTGCTCTAGGCAATGAAAGAACCTCCTTAGAAGATGATGGTTGTGCCCTTCCATTCTGTAGCCACACAGCCACAGTCCGGTTAGCATGCACAGTGCATAGTCTCTACTCCGAACACTATGAAGGGATGGTCACTGCCAGCCTCTGTCGCGAAAACTGCGACTCTTCGTCTTGTGTTCATCCCCCCCACCCCCTAATCGCCTGCCCAATATGTCCTCGTGGCCTTAATCTGCCATGCTTAAATAGCTGCGAACGTCAGCCTGCCTTCCTGCTGACATGTCAGCAACATGCCATGTGTCATCAATGTTTCTGGGAAGCTGTCATAGAAAGCATGTGCCTCTACTGCGTGGACTATCCACAATGCCATCATCCACCACATCCTCTCTTAGCATGTCCCACATGCAGAGTTGGGCATACAATTACTGCAAACGCCATCGGATCTCCTTCTTTCCTGCCCGACGAACAGCAAACTCAACAGCCTGAGCAGGAAAATAGAGTATCACATGAGCCGCTTATAGAGCACTGTGCTGAAG